AGTGTATAAACTAAGTAAGCGAGTCTTGTACCCGAGGGAGAATCTAGCCCTTCTTGATATCCCCGACACGTTTATCTATTTAATTTTTCAAGTGACTCAAGCCAGACCTTGGTGCGACTTTTTCAAGCCCACAATCAATCACCTATGTGGTGATTGATTTCATCTCATGCACACACTCTCACCCATGTCAATGCCCATGAATGCAATGTAACTCATCAATAATGACATTTTCAATGTACAATTGTCTTTAGTACCATTTACAATGTCCATTACATAAAGAATATAATATAATGACATTTTCAACATGACACACACGTTTATCAATTCTATAAACATAAGCACAAGTCCACCATAATAATTATATGCTAAATAATCATTTAACATACATATTATTTCATAATCACATAACAAGCTAATAATTTCATTAAACTTGATATGTCATTTTAAAACATAAAATAATGCTAATATACAATTAACATGTTTTAAACCACTAACATTAACTTACATCAAGTTAATCATAATAGGATTTTTCTAATTACAAAGTTAATTATAAATCATATATTTGACCCACTAGTTACACTAGTCAAGACCTAACATGTGATATACACTCATAGTCTACCCATTTCATATGTCATATTTTAGTTTGAAAGTAAATCTAAATAGGGAAAACCCTACCTCTCGTAGCATGAGCTCACGTACTGGAACTTCAAGGAAGCTCAATTTAACTCCCCAAGCTTTAAGCCTAAATTATCGTCTGTGATATTCTTTCGGAGAAAAATACGATATTTGGTGTGGTTGCATAGCTCTCGCTAAGTAGAGCAATTTTAATTCTTGACCCGAAGCAATTAAACGGGTCAATCTTCGTAGATCTAAAAATGAAGAAAAGAGAAAAAATAAAACAATATTCACCCTTCTCTCTCTCACTCTCTCGGCAGCTCACTGGAAGAAGAAAAGTAAAAGACTTTTGTTTTCCACTTAAATATATAGTGTAACTTTATTTTTTTTAAAATTTATATTTTTGACCCATAATTTAACCATTAATTATTATTTTACCCCTTAAATTAAGATTTTTAATAATAATAATACTACTTTTTTTTTACCGGGCTTTACATTACAACTCAATCTAAGCAACATTAAGACCAACTGAAATTGTTTGGTATTAATCTTAAAACATTTTAAATTCAATTTTAACTTTTATTATTTTGTTGTAACTTAAAACCATTAAATCATAACTTGACCCAAATAAATTGTTCCTATCTAGTTGTAACTTTTTTGTACGATGCTAAAAAGTGTAGAAGTTAAAACTTTGGAGTGAGCACCTACAACAATTCACAGAAACTTAACTTACAACTTGACAACGGTATCGACATGCCAAAAAAACCCTACGAAAGATTCAAAACGTTGACGAAGTTTTGCTTGCACACATTAATTTGGGTAGACTTTGGGAAGAATTCGTATCGAGCGAATTCTTCCCACTCTGGTTCTGGTAGCCCAACAAGAACTCGAAGTCTAGACATCATAAAAAGAGTAAATCACTGGCCTGCTCGAAGGCTTGGCAGTAAAAAATTAAGACCCCTTCCAAAAACCACAAAAAAATCTCTGCAACCATTTTCCTCAAGTCACAGCCTTTTAAACCAATCTAAATCTAGAACATATGTACCTCGAAAACCAACCCTCGATCCTCCGCCATCAAGAAGAAAAATTATCACTGAAGCCCTGCCCTTCCTCAAGATTCATATTACCATATCACCCAAGCCCCCTTTCATATGATTAGCAACACCATATGAACCTTAGAGGATGATTCCACTACAAGATGCAACGTTGGCAGCCATTGTAGTTGTGGCACTTTTAGTTTATGAAAATCCTCCATACTACCTGCTTTCTCAAGGGCAGACTGCAACACGAAGAACAATGGATTGACATGAATTTTGGGCCTCTCTTGCCCTTTATACTAAAGATAGAAACAACCCAGGAGCATCAAATGTGAAAGCATTCTATACCTGGAAGTTATCTCATTCTCATGTCTTTCCGGGATGACCTTATAAAGGCTTAAACTGGGTTGCAGCGGTATTGAGGCTAATTTAGGAGGGAGAAAACTAATAAATGCAACTTTAAAACACAGTTGATTTGCTAAAAAAATTTATCTGGAGAACAATAGAGCATGATGCATTAGCTGATATAAAACTGGAACAGAACAACACAAAATCATCAAAGAATTTATTTTTTAACAAGAGGGTCACTACCTAGTGTCTGTCCTGTCATACGGGGTGCCCTACACCTGCTTTCCACTTCCATTTACGCCAGGTGCCCACTAGAAGACTCATAAATGTGTTCTCACACTTGAATTCCTAAGCTTTTCCACTTCATAGCCCATCAATCTTAAAGAATAGATGATACCGAATTGTTAAGACAATTATTACAACCGCATTCCATGCCTCATGTAGAGGCTTATTTTAGAATAAAATAACTCCCCTATAGTAAGCAAACAACATATTTTCACGAGTGTATCTCATCTAAACTATTAGCAGCTTTTTTGTACTGCATACTTTGCAACATTCTAACCACAAAACATTAGCCATTACTGGAAGCCTCACTCAGCTCAGAGGCTAGTCATTCTAATCCCCTGTTGCAAGTAATCTAAGACAAACTACTAACGAAAAACCTCAAAGTAATTGTGCAATCCAAAGCATGCAACATAGCAAAAGGATAGGAAATAAAATTCTATTCCATTGTATGTAACATGACAAATGCAAACAGAAAAAATTCAGAATGTAACTAGAGAACACAATGTGAAACTAATACCCCACATGCAGCACACGTTACCTGCAAGTGCTTCTACAATTGACAATCCAGAACTTCATTTTCCACAGTTCCACCAAGGCATCCTACAGGATCTCTATTCCTATTCAAATCGAACATCTACAAGCATATATGTCACCTTGAGCTGAACAATGGATGAGGTAAAATTGGCCAGCTTTTGACATTCTTCATGTGTTTTGGCCTCTAAAACCACCCCATGAATGACTAACTTCTTCAGGTTTGAACTTTGAACGTCTATTAAACAGACCTGCCACCCACTGTATAAAGAGATCATTAACTACAGTCCACCCAAGCTCCGATACAAGCACATTTTCCAAAGGAGACAATCCTTCCAAACCAGAGTGTAGCACTCCATCTCTTAAGTCAATCTCTAAAATCATAACTCAATGCAAGATGGCTTACCTGTGGGAAACAACAAGAAATGATCTCTACATCGACAATGTCATCATCATCATCAAAGAGCACATCCCAAACCTTAAGTCTTCTCAATTTGGACGATTTGGAAATCATCTGATAGAACTTGGACCGAATGATCGTGGAATTGCTAACATCTATGATTTTGAGATAATAAATGCTCACCAATATCAATGTGTATAACACTAACATCATCAGTCTTGCAATGCTTCAATATTCCCTTTCCAATGAGTTCAAAAAGCTCAAGGGCACAATCTTTCCAAGTGCAATATCTCAATGCAACCCAACTTATCCAGGCTTACCGCATCAACATATATTCTCTATAATGTTGGGATGTTCAGTTCAACAGTTACCTGTGCATCTGACATTGCAATCTCTGGATTCCAAAGGGCCAACACCTCAATCTTTGGGCAGGCTGCAAGCAACAAATTCAGATCCAATGCTGAAATACTAATGTAACTCAAAGATACGTATATATGGCAAGGGAATCTCTGGTAATTGGGAATCTCCAAGATGGGATAGTGTGTTCCCAATCACCTCAACAGGTAGGTACTCCATGACGAATAGAAACATACACTCTCAAATCCACAAATTGGATTCAAAAACTTATAAATTGACATCACCAGATTCCAATAACTTCATTCCATATATTTTCACGTATCAAAATCAAAGCCAATACACAAGTCGCTCCTGCATCATTGCATCAACAGAAGTTAGAACAACATAATCAAAAAAAGTAGTCAGTCACCACAAAGAAGAGCCAAGTAGTCCACTGTCAGAGAGATATCCATCAAATGAACAACCTTCAAGGGAAGCTTGAGAATTGATATCTGGGTTTCGAGCAAGAAATTCAAAAGTTGGAGAATTGCTGAATAAAACCCACCAAAACCCCAATTTCGTATTGGTAAACATAGAACACTAACGAATTGTACTCAATATCCTGACAAACTAAAACAAATCAACAACCCCAATTCCAAATCAACAACACGAATGTGAGATTCAAGTATACCCAATGATAAATCAATACCAAAAAAAAAACTTTTAAAACTGTTTTGTAGGTGCGTACCTACTAACCTTTGTACCACCAATGAATGTCAAGTTCTCTTCTATATGTAAAACCTACATGTCCCACATTGCCTTCTGCCTCTTTAAGAATGGTCAGTTAAAACTATTTGTATTGTACTAGAATCCCTCTAAAAAATAAAAACAACTTATTTGAGATTTATTTGCATGACAAATGACTCCAATTAAAACACACCTCGAGCTCTTAGTAACTCGACAAACTATTAACATTAAGTACTAGAACTTGACTCAATAAAAGTTCAATCGATACTATACCGTTAGATTAATGAACTAGTTGAAGGGTCATTTCAATTTTAACTCGAGTTTAATCAATCAAACACATATTTTTAAGGGCTCAATGAATTAGTTGAAGGGTCATTTCAATTTTAACTTGAGTTTAATCAATCAAACACATATTTTTAAGGGCTCACATATCCACTTCCTCTGCATTCTCTTAGCACATTTTGTTCAACCCATAGTGGGCATTCTTATTATAGAACTAACAATGATCTTGTATCTGAATATTAAAAATTAAACATTAATTATACAATTTTTATATTTTAAATAATAATTTATTTTCATTATTTTTCTTTAATTGCACAATTCGAAATTAAAGTAGATTCCTTTTGGTACTCGGACCTCGGTATAGTAATTTAAACGGATTGGGTGAGAGTCTAATTGCTTAAAAGCTTGGGTGTTTAACACCTTCAATTCTCTCTCTCTCTCTCTCTCTCTCTCTGTCGAGCACCTATGGATCAAACGACTCGAATCAATCACTTTCTTCTGCTCGTTGTAACATATCTGGCCATCTTGCTCCCCTCTGTCAGTGCTTCACCGTCTGATCATCGGTACAATGTGGGCGACGACGTTCCCTTATTCGTTAACAAGGTGGGCTCCTTAAACAATCCCAGGTACTTCCCTTCTGATCCACCAACGGATGATTTTATCATCCCTAATAACTGTGAGCATGGTTAATTTTATAACTATTTACCAGACTACTTGTTAAACCTGAAAGAATTGCTTATGAGAATTTGTATGGTTGTCGATGGCATATTAAGCTGGAAAGTAGCTTTGAACTTAAAATGTTAAGTGCAATGCTAGTTATGCTTTATGCTGCATAATACCAAATTATGTTCCTAGAATGAGTATTGCTGAAGTACCTGTTGCAATGTGTATTGACCCTGTGTCCAAATATGTCAAAGGGGACGGAGGTCGTCTCCAATAATAAATTTCCCCCAAAACTTTCAGATCCGAGCACTCCGTAGGCATTGGTGGGGAACCCACTTCAATATTATTATGGGCTCCACCTAGATTCGTTGTGAGTCTTGTGGTGGTGTGAATGGAGCGAATCTGAGGAATGTAGAACTGGAAAAGGGGTCAACTCGGGCCCAAGTTTTGGTATGTATCTAATCTAGGCCATTGGTAATAGTAACATCACTCTACGTGAGAGTAGCCTCAATGGATAATTATCCTTTTTCTTTTTTACTTGTTGGAATGGGTGAATCATGACACGGGAGTGTAGACGTACTGCACCGAGCTAGAGGTTGCAATATATGAGGTAAGAGTAGGGAAATGTTTTTAAGATGGTTTTGTTTGATGCATCAAATGAGGAGGAGAATTTGATTCAAGTGGGGTGTTACAGACAAAACAGGGGGCCAAACTTAATATTGGTTGAGGAGGTGGGAATAGAGGGAGCATTTGGTCATCCCCAGGAGTTGAGGAAACAATATGGTTTAATCTGAAAAATGTATATGTTCCCGGCTTTGAGTGGTTAGATGTCAAGGATTGCCGACTTGAATTGGATTTAAGCTATGCTGTTGAATCTTGCAAGTTTTGTTGTCTTACAAAAGAAAAAAAATATATTTTATAGCATTAGTGAAAATGCGCGTCATTCTTCAGTCTAATCGTGATCCTGAAATCTGAAATGGCGTTGAATGATGCATACACTTCAAGGATAAATGTGATATTCCTCATTTTTCAGTTTTTTCTTTGACAAATAAAAGGTTAACATTGACAAACTTTAAACATTTTTGAAAATGTAATAACTAGGATTGGATTTTAAGATAACAGTATCCAAAGTTTCACCTTGAATAATGTTTGATTCTTTTGAGGAATCTTGGTACTTCTACTATCTTAATGTTGTTTAATTGTTATCCTTGTGCAGTGAAACCTACCAATACTATCACTTGCCATTCTGCCATCCAGGTTAGCATTTAGGCTTTACAGTAACAATTGGCTATCCTATTATAAGTGGAAAGAGAACTGATTGGGACTTTTATCATTTAGTGCATATAGTTGTATATTAGGCTACTGTTTTTTGGCTCATAGTAACATTTAGTACTTGATTACTGGGTAGCTGCTATTATCCAATAACACTAGTTATATTTTAGCTAGCAAGTAGAATTGTTTTAGAGGAAGAATTCTTGATATGCAGCTTCAACAATAAATTGACCAACTGTAATATGTTCCAAATTGAAGCTTGATTGTTATCGATGTAGTAAAGATGTTTTTGGAATATTTGATACAATCGGTCCGGTACCATCCAAAAGTTTAGAGAAACCAATTGCACAGTCTGAAACTGGCCACGGTACTCAGTGATGGTGTTTTGTTGATTTTTGGTGTATTACCCATGGTTATGATTACAACACTAATTAGAGTGTGTTGACATTTCACTTTTGTCATGCAGATCAGGTGATTAGAAAGACGGAAACCCTGGGGGAAGTTTTAAATGGTGATCGTTTGACAAATGCTTTATATAAGTTGAAATTTCGGGAGGACAAAATTGGGGATATTCTGTGCCAGAAGGAGCTGAAAAGAGAACAAGTCACAAAGTTCAGGAATGCTATTATGAATGATTTTTACTTCCAAATGTACTATGATGATCTTCCATTTTGGGGATTTATTGGGAAGGTTGAAGAGGCAAATTGGACCCTTGATGAAAAGGGTCTTAAATTTTATATTTTCAGCCATGTTCGGTTTGATGCTCTTTACAATGATGACCACATCATAGAAATACATGCTTTTAGTGACCCAGATCATGTCGTGGAATTAAAGGAAGATGTGGAAACCAATGTTGAGTTCACTTATTCAGTTTTCTGGAATGCAACCTCCACTGAGTTTGAGAACAGAATGAACAGTTATTCAAGGGCTTCCTTTCTACCGATACAGCAGAAAATTCATTGGTTTTCATTATTTAATTCAGCTGTCATCCTTTTACTCCTGATTGGATTGTTCATGGTGTTTTCTATGCGGAATCTGAAAACTGATTTGAGAAAGTAATGTGCTGTTATAGTCTCATCGTGCATGCATCCATGACTACTCTCATGATGAATTAATTGGACTTGACTTGAAAGAAGGTTCTTATTTTATCTTCCTGTTATTTATTCTGTATTGTAGGTGTTATGCTGCCGATGAAGAAGAAGGCATGGAGGTTGGTTGGAAATACATTCAAAACGATGTGTTTGGTTCTCCTTCTCACATGCCCTTGCTTTGTGCTGTTCTGGGCTCTGGTACCCAGTTGTTGATGATGTAAACCACTTCAATAATTTTCTTTTGATGATACCCGTCCCATGGCTGAAAATTTCTATTATCTGTTGAAAACTTGCATAGTTCAATCATGAGTTTAATGGGTCATGGGGCCCGATAGTCTGTGTAATCTTCTGTGGGTGCTAAAACCTTGTTGGAAGAATATAAGTGCCTTCATTTTAATCATCTTGTATTCATAAGAAGGTTGTTATCCCTTATGGTCTCTCTCTCTCTTGTTGAATATATGGCCTTCAAGTTTTCTCCAGAACTGTTACCACTAGCCGTATTTTCTGTGGTTGTATAAAGGGAAAAGCTAACCTCTCCACCCCTTGGAGGTGGTTAGATTTGTTCCCCAATCTACTGGCAAAACACCCAACATACTATGCTTTGGAACTACTCTAAATAGTGGAAAGTCTAAGAATAAACATAAGGCTACTACCAGGCAGTAGATCTGATCTTTTTAGAGCTCTTATGATGAAACTCTCGATACTTGGATCTTTTAATTGTTCAAGAAAAAATCTTTGGCCTCGTCTGTGATATAGGTTTTCCTGTTTAAAACAGTTCAGATGGTAGAAGGAGATTGTAATCTCATAGATTAAAAACATTAGTTTACTCCTGCAGAGATTATTTGGATTATAACACCCATAGGAGAGCGCTTTAGACATTTCCTCGATATTTATAATTGAATGATATAGAGATTATGTGCGCTATAGATCTTATAGACAAATGGGAAAGTGCTTATATTTCAATTTTGCTATCCTATGGGACAGTATTAAAAATCAAAAGTAATTGAAAACTTTGATGTTTGGGTGACTGGGTCTAAGTTGGTGTGAGACAATTTGCCAGCAATTTGTTGTGGCTGGAAGGAAACTTTTAATTTTGCTGGTTTGCTGCCAATTTATCAATCATTGAGTTTTTTATTTACTCCAATTGAAGTATATTCCCTTTTTCCTACAGGGTTTGCTTATTATTTGTTTTGGTATTTGTTGGTGTCCTGTATCCCTACAATCGTGGAGCTCTTACTACCGCTCTTGTTGTGATTTATACTCTTACATCTGCAGTTGCTGGGTACAGTGCTTCTTCTTCCTACTGTCAGTTTGCTGAAATAGGATGGGTAATTTGGTTTGCCTTTCTATTACTCTATACACATTGGATTGCTTTTACTCTTCTTACTTCTTTATGTGATGGAAAATATGTTTACATTTTACAGGAAAAATGTGTTCTTCTGACTGGAATTCTCTACCTTGGTCCTGTGTTTTCCATTATATTTATCCTTAATACAGTCGCCATTGGTTTTGGGGCAACAGCAGCAATTCCATTTGGCACGATGGTAGTGGTTTGTCTTATATATGCATTTCTTACCAGTCCATTGCTTGCCTTTGGCGGGGTATTTGGATACCGTATTAGGGCCAGATTTCGTGCACCTTCTGCTACAAAGAGATGCCCAAGAGAGATTCCATCATTGGCTTGGTACTGGAAAACGCCTGCTCAAATGTTTCTTGGGGGCCTCTTACCTTTCAGTGCAATAATCCTTGAGCTACATCACTTGTATGCAAGCATGTGGGGCTATAAAATCTATATTCTTCCTAGCATTTTGCTTATCAATTTCATCATCCTTATCATACTCACTGCACTCTTGAGTGTTGGTTTGACATACTTTCAGCTAACCGTGGAAGACCATGAATGGTGGTGGAGGTATGTCCCCCTGAAGAGTTATTGCAAATATAATAGATATGCATGTGTCTACTGGACTACCGGTAAACGTTCTGCATATATTATAATATTATTTAAGGCAAATTACACCATTAGCCTGCAAGGTTAATGGATATTGTCAATTTGGTCCCTAATTGTCAATTTTCTTAATTGATTCAGTAAACTTTACACTGTTTTTATGTGATCCTGTTGATGATGCCCATTGCAAATTTGCAATTTTGAACTCCCATCTTCATATGCTCTTCTTCCTCTATCACTAACAGACCGATTAAATGGGTTGGCATGGAAGATGAGGGACTGGGAGGGGGGGGCACATGATCAAAGATGTTGGTTGCGAATCCCATGCGTCGCACAGCCACATGATTTGAGTACTACTTCAGGGTGTCAGTCTTGTGTACAAATCAAATCAAAAATGGATGTACTTTGAAATAACTATGGCACTGCATCTTTCTCACCAGGTCATACTTTAGACCCAGGTTCTAGTTGGCTCTCAAACATCGAAAACAAATGGTTGACAACTTTGCAGACGGTGCTATGAACAATCAATAGTTCGAGTTTACCAGATTTATCTCCTAGTATTGATCGTCTTTAGACCAGATGGGATCAAGATTAATGCTTTATTCTAGGCAAATGCATGTTCACACTAGTGGTATCACCCTTAGATTACTGAAGACTTTAGCCTTTTTATTTGGAGCTGTATCCAAGTATTTGTCCCTTTTTTTCCATATAAAGGCAAATACTACAGTTTTTGTATTGGAGGAGGAGGATGAGTTTCAAACCAGGTCTTGAGCCCGGTAAGGGTGTTGCCTTGCTGGTTTTTTGATAATTTAGAAATTTCACTGGTTTCTATGTGCTTGAGCATGCACACAAACAATGGAAAAATTAGGCATCTATTTTTATTTTCCAATGCGGTAATATCTCTGATCCAAAAAAGGAAAAAAACTGCACTTCTGTTCAAAATTAATGACTTCAATAGGTGATTACTTACTTTGGATTGTGCCTTGCATTATCTCATTGTCACTCTATTATTTTTGTTTTGTTTATTAGTACTATTATTATTTGATAAGTCTTTTGCATGGTTGCTCTACCTTATGGATTACTTATCTGTTTGACGCAGATCCGTTTTACGTGGTGGCTCGACAGCAATTTTTATGTTTGTGCATTGCATCTACTTCTATGCCAAATCAAATATGAGTGGTTTCATGCAGCTATCCTTCTTTTTTGGTTACAATGCTTGCTTGTGCTATGCAGTCTTCCTGATGCTCGGTACAATCAGTTTTCGTGCTTCCTTGGTCTTTGTTCACCACATTTATTTTGCTGTCAAGAACGAATGAACCAGCTTTGGTTCTATGTGGTAGTGGAGTATCTTCACCTGCAGCTTTCTGGAACAAAAGATGACAGAACAAAATCAGCCTCACCTGTAATACTGATAGATACCATCCCATCCCCCCCTTTCCCCCGGGGTGGCTGTTACATGGAGAGAGAGAGAGAGAGAGAGGGATCGGACAGATTGCATGAGATTATTTTACCTTTGAATTGAAAGTGGAGCAATGTTCAAGTAGATAGAAATTGAGATCCCTTGACTTCTGGATGTTCCAACACATGCATACTTCTAAATCTATAGGTCCTTTTGGTTTCATGTCATTGCCGTGTCCACCATATACATTGAGGGAAATGGTAATCCTGTGGAAAATGTAATTGGAATTCAGAAGAAAGAGAATTTGGCCAAATCTTAGCCTTATTTCACAATCGATTGTTCTTTCAATTTTTACCTTCCAAGCATTTAAATTATTATTATTATTTTTTTTGGTACCAATATAAACCTCTTTTATTTTCTGTTTAATAATTAATTCGTGGCATTTCTTTTCAATTCTTTTATCCCTTGAATTGATTGAGTAGTTGGCGGATGCTTTCAAAATGATTGAAAAGAGAGTGGAAGAAAGGTTATAGAAAATAATGTTTGGTTTTCATCTCAAAAAATAATATCTAAAAACAGTTTTCGAAGTCAAATTTTTGAAAATTGTTTTTAGTGTTTTTCATATTGCAGAATTTGTTTGGTTATATAATTCTAAAAACTGTTTTGGAGAACAATAGACAAAAAACATGTCTGGGCAGTAGGGCAAAAAATAATAAAAATAGAGATGATGTTTGGATTGAATGTTTTACTGACATAACATTATATTACAAATTATAATATAACACAGACCATTGTTTGTACATACAAGCTCCACCTTATATTACAATGACAGAGCTAATCACTCTAGTCTCTACCAAATTAACACCTATAAAATTAACGACCATCATTTTTCATTGTACGAACTCTGAAAACCCTTATGTGGCCAGCACCACATATGCATAAAGGACCTGTGTGCATAAATGAAACGCAACTCATATAATTTATGTCATCACACATACATATGATATCCAACATAATACAAAAAATATTTTATAGCATCCATGTACTAGTAATAACACTTTAATATTTTTAATATTACATAATGACAGTGTACTAGTAATAAATCTTAAACAACATAAAAGTTCAACCACCATGAGAAACAGTAGCTCACATACTCGCAACCATTGTATCCCTCAAGTGCGACATAGCATTGAGTTGTGATGATGAAATGTCCAATTCAATTAATCAATGATGGTTGGAACTCTGTTCATTATCTAAAGGGACGTCTTCATTTGGAAATCGTTGAAAGTAAATGTCACAAGCTGAATACATGTGAACAAAACTATGAACTGCACAACATGCTATTACAATGGTTGGTTGGCGTGCAGGTTTGTATTTTGGCATTATATTTAAAATAGGAAATATTGTTTTCAACTCGCCAAAACATCTCTCAATAATATTTCTCAAGAAAAAATGTCGATAGTTAAATAGCTTTCTTGGTCCACGTGGTGCATGTCTGTTACCACTACAATCAGGAATGTGACATCTCTTGCCACGATATGGCGAGAGATATTCAGGCATGTTTGTGTAACTGGCATCTGCAACGTAGTACATCCCTAATCCAAAAACACATTGTCAACATTAGATACTTAATGTCATAGTTTTGATTATAGGAATTAAATCATTCTATACACCAACCTTCTGGCGGCATAGGAAAGTTGACTTCACCCTTTGTTATAGCATCCATAAAAACACGTGAATCATGTGCACTACCTTCCCAAACAGGCATGAAAAATACAAATCTCATGTCAAAAGAACAAGTTGTTATCACATTTGGGTAATTGTTGTTTTTCAACCATGGTATGTCTCATGCTTAGAAGCAGGGGTCCATGCAGCTACATGAATACAATCAATTGCATCAATACAATCCTACATTTATAAAATGTGTTTTTAGTAGTACAATAAAATATATGTAACATGTTTAGTAGATGTTACCTTAAACCATGGATAGTATCGTTCATCATATAATATCTTAGGTGGAGTTTCGCATGGAAGTTGTGGCCGAATTATTGACACCCCTAGACTAGCTAATGCACACATAACCTTCTTGAATTGGCGATTGATAGTTTTAGTTGAGTGTTAAAACATCTCAGCAACAAGTCTTTGCCTAACTCTATGTGAAACTGTGAGTAAGAAAATAGTCACGGACTCCTCAGTTGTCAAATGATTGTGGTAGTCCTCTTGTATGTGACTGCCATCGCGCAGTGTTTTACACAATACAAGGAACGTATCAGCATCCATCCATAGACAATTATATATGTGTGACAGATTTCTATTCAACAATTCCATAACCCATTCATGGCCAGTTAATTTAGATGTCATGCATGGTGTTTTGAACAAATAGTTGTTAGCATATGGGCACATTATATTGACAAAAAACATATCATCCAATTCGTCATCTACACTGCTTGATGAGCTTAGTGAGTCATCACTTGATTGGGCAGTTGTATTTTCCATTGTAACTACAAACATAATACAAACTCATGATTACAGTGCATAAATACGAAAACAGTCATAGGATAATGATCCACATCATCATGCAACATCATACCACTAAACATTTTCAACACCATACCACTTGAATAATAGACATTTCCCAACGTTACATATTCAAAACATACAAAATAAAACATGTAGCCCATGCACCACATCATACGCCAATATTACTAATATTGTTCCATAATAATTGTCCAACAGTTACATGCCCAAATTGTCTCGGTAGAAACACACAAAAAGTTAAGTCAACTTTGGACATTCATGCCCAAATAATTTCATACATAACTAACCAAACATCATTAAACTTAATCTAGTGTGTCAAGCCACTCCTTCTTACGTTGTGCAAACATCTTAATAAACATTTAATGCCACTCAGGGTCCTTGAACTTTGCACAAGCACGAAAATATTATTGGGATCCAACACCCTCCATACCCTCTAACACATCCATGCAAGTGTTAATTTTGTAAGCATCATTCACAATGTTCACAGGACAAGTATGCTTGTATTTCTCCATCCTAGCAAGTGAGAATGCAGCCCATGCATCCATAGTATTGTTCATCTTTGAACTCTTACTCTCCTTCTTATCTCTTGAACTACTTCCAATTTTTTACGTGGAAAGGGAAATGGACCTTCAAGATCACCGTCAAGACTAGCAGATGATCTTTTTTGACAAGTGATGAACTCCTCATCCAACTCTCTCTCCTCATTTGAATTTGGTGAGACTTGGGTCGAAGCATCGACTAAAGGCATGTGGTTGTTGATTTTCCAAAGATAAGTCCCAAAAAGTTGAAGTGCTCACACCCTTTCGTGCGAAAAGCTTTCACTTGCAGATTCGCCTAAAAAAAAATTATCATTAAGGCTAGTAATAAATAACTAGCCTAAAAAGTATATACAACTATGTCAAACTATGCATACCGCAATATATCGCGCTCAGACATCTTCCTCGGCCGTCACAGTTGTGACACCCCAAAATTCAGGTGGTTGTGATTATCCGATTGATCATCCATCGAAATGCGAAATACTTGTGGATACCGTGTAATTCGATATCACACCGTTATGCCCCATTTCTCGGGATCCATAACTTAACAAAATTTGGGCAGAGTCTCCTTTGTACGAGAAGTTCTACCCAAAACGCAA